CAGGATTGACCTAAGTTTTTTTGTTTGTTTATTTTGTCGTTTTTGTTTTTTGTTTCTTTGAGATAGGATCTTTCTCTGTAACCCAGAGTGGAGTGCAGTGGAACTGATCATAGCTCACTGCAGCCTCGAACTCCTGGGCTCAAGCAGTACTTCTGCCTCAGCCTCCCAAAGTGCTGTTGTGAGCCACCACGCCTGGCTGATTTAAGGTTTTTTTTTTTCCTTGAGATGGAGTCTCGCTCTGTTGTTGCTGGAGTGCAGTGGCCTGATCTCGGCTCACTGCAGTCTCTGCCTCCCTGGTTCCAGCAATTCTCTTGCATAGTTGGGACTACAGGTGTGTGCCACCACGCCCAGCTAATTTTTGTATTTTTGAGTAGAGATGGGGTTTCACCATATTGGCCATGCTGCTCTTGAACTCCTGACTTCCTGATCTGCCTGCCTTGGCCTCTCAAAGTGCTGTGATTACAGGCATGAGCCACCGTGCCCGGCACAGTTTTTTCCTTTCTGTTGAATTACTCTTACTGGCATACAAACACATTATTTTTCTCTTGAAGAAACAAAAGCACACAGTAATACACACCAAAAGCCAGACCCTCTCTTGATCCCATTTCCCTTCTAGCTATTGTCCTATTTCTTCCTTTAAGTGTAGAACTTTTATCAGTTGTATATATTTGATATCTCTATGTGTCTCTCCTTTTCTCTTGAATCAGTTCCAATTAGGTTTTTATCCTGCTACTCCACTAAGATTACTTTTATCAGCGTCATTAATGGTCTTCTTGTTGCAGGTTGCTGTGGGGAAATATAGAGATAAATAGAATAATATGAAGGGAGGACACTATGCATTGTAACAAAAGCCTAGAAACGCTCAAATATTCATTAACAAACTATAGTACTTTCCTATAGTGGAGCCTTATGCATTTGTTAAAAAGTATGGAGAAGATATTTTTATGCTGCTAAGCAGTAGTATCTCTGATTTATTAAGCGAGAAAACAAGATGCAATAGAGTAAGTGTATTGTTCTATTTTTTATGTAAGAAAAGGAGGAAAATAGGAATATGTGTGTATTCAGCTTTATGTTGTAAAGCATTGTAAGACTAATCCAAAATCATAGAGGGGATAAGGACAGAACTAAAACCTCTTTGAATGTACCTTATTTATAGTTTTTACCTTATCACCATTTTTTGTTATATATAATTATAAAAAATCCCTAAATGGAAACACAAGAATTAAAAAATGTGAGGATGGTGACACAGTTCCAAGAATTATTATTTCAAGTAGCTTTGAAACACTGTATTTTGACTGTGTATCCCTAGTGGCTTATATCCTAAGGACAGAGAAGATCAATAAGAAATCTTAAACTTAGTTCATTATTGCTAATAGCAATACTGTTATTATTTTGAGATTACATGTAGTAGGCTAAAACAAATAGGTACATATGCTAATGGCATGTATTTATTAGTGTCATTAGCAAGAAAGATTTTCAGGGTGAGAGAAGATACAAATAAAATGAGTGAATACTGTTTAATGGGAAATATCAAAGTGAACTCAGGATTTAAATTTCTGTTTATAAAAATGCATATTTTCTTACTGAAGAAGTAATGACAAGTAAAAATCAGTATTCCTAGCTTCCAGATTTTGGTCTTCAGATGCCATTTTCCATTAAAATGAATCATGGATCTTGGAGCAATGGCTGATGCCAGGTCTGGGGCCTGAAATGTGTAAGATGAACTTCTGGGGCATTTTGTTCCCGAGAGCAAGGAAGCTACTATTAGAGATGACAGAGATCATGTTAAAATGATGCAGGAGCCACCTAGCAGGAGCTCCTACTGGTCAAAAAGGGTGCAATCGGAGGTCTCCCTTATTAAAAGCCCTCTTGTCAAACAAAAAGGAATTGGAATCTGATCAGGCCTCTAGAGCTAACTGTGTTGTACAGGAACTGTAGGAACATGCTGTACAGTACCAGGACGACACGGTTTGCCTAATCAGACTGGAAAGTTATATGAGACAAATCATTTCTTCAACAAATAAATAGCATGGAAAAAATTTTTAAAAAGTAGAAATTGTTAAAAGATTAAAAGAGGCATAACAGCCAAAATCTGTGTGTGAACCTTGTTTGGATTCTGATTCAAACTGTCTTTAAAAGACATTTTTGGGCAAGTGGGAAGAGTAGGGCTGTACTGGATATTACATATTAAGGAATTATTATTTGTCGGATGTGGTAACCTGGTTACTGTATAACTTACTAAATCTGTACAGGTGAAAAGAAGTGACGTGTAACATTGCTTTAAAATACAGTACTCAGCTGGGTGGAGTGGCATATATCTGAGTCCCAGCTACTCCAGAGGCTGAGGCGGGAGAATCACTTGAACCCAGGAGATCAGGGCTGCAGTATGTACCATGATCGCACCTGTGAATAGCCACTGCACTTCAGTCTAGAAAACAGAGTGACATCCTGTCTATATATATATATTTTTAAAGATTAAAATACAGTATTCCGTTTAAAGAAAAAAATGAGGGATGGGTGAGAACACAGTAGCAGAATATTGGTAGTTGTTGAAGCTGGGTACTTGGGAGCTCTTGAAGATGGTACCTGGGGGTTCCATCCATGTATGTATGTTTGATAGTTTTTATAAAGGAAAAAAATTCATAAAAGAGATTGCTGTCCTTTATGCAGAGTGATGATATTAATAAAAGTATCTATTAATTAAATGTTTGGTCTGGTAAAAAAGCGACAGTTTATGATGACTCTATTACTTACTGAAAAAACTTCTTTAGGTTCCAGTTGTAATCAGTACATTATAGAGCTTTATAAAGCATTAGGTCATTCATTTTGGCTAGGAATGAAATAATTGGTTATATACTTAGCATTCAACTTGATGGTCATATAGTTCGCCATTCGGTGCCTATAAGAATATAGGAAGAAAACAAACTTAGTTTCTCTTATAATGCTCGTACAGCATTCAATACGGAATACTTCTGTAATGTCTAGTCACCAAAATGCGTCCCCACTCATTGGATTTCTCTCCAACAACAAGCAGTTGTGCAGGTAATTCTCCAGTGGACACCAGCTGAATGGCCTTTTCATTCAGTTCTGACACTATTTACCTGGGCATAGATTCCGCAGGTTGAGGGCTCAATCCCAAAAGGCTGCCCCCCTTCATATGTGGTCCCAAGCACAGGTTGTGGGCTGTGTTTTTGACCAACTGGTTATAAATTGAGGTTCCTGTGACACCCACCCCTTCTGGGATTCAATTAATTTGCTAGTGCAGCTCACGGAACTCAAGGAGACATGTTACTTACATTTGCTCACTTATAAAGGATATTATTACAAAGGATACAGAAGGAAGAGAGATGCAGAGGACAAGGTCTGGAGAAAGGACTTAGAGCTTCCGTGCCCTTTCTGGGCCCATGCCCTCTGGAGGAGCATCAACTAACTCCTCTATTGTGGAGCCCTCAGAACGCAGTCCTTTTGGGTTTTTATTAGGTGGTCATGATTGATCCAATAATTGGCCATTGGCTTATCAGTTCATCCTTAAGCCAGTCTCCCTCTCTGGAGATTGGAGGTGGGGGTGGGACTGAAAATTCCAACCTTCCAATCTTTGCTTGGTTCTCCTGGCAGCCAGCCACCGTCCTGAGGCAACATAGGGGATCCCAGCCACATCTGTCTTATTAGCATGCAAAAGATACTCATCTTTCTGAAGATTCCAAGGATTTTAGGAGCTATTCAGCAGGAAACAGCATGAAAACCAAATACATTTTATAGTACCACAGTGCTCCACTCAATATATATATATAGATTGAAGTTGTATATATACTTGTGTGTGTGTGTGCATATATATATATACACACTATATATATATACATGTATATATATAGATAGATAGATAGATAGATAGATGTTGTAAGACTTATGATACATATTTTTAAAAACCTCCTGTCCATTGTATTTGATTATTTATATATAGGAGTTTGTGCATGTGAATTTGAGGAATGGCACACTTCAAAATGCTTCTGGGAGAAACTGAAATATGTGTAATGGTTAAGTATCTTGGAAGGATAGCTATGCCTTTTGTGTGTAAGGATGCCTGAACCACAGATCTTAGTATGATAGTTTCTATTATGGCTACTTTTACTATAAGAAGACCCTTTTGTAGTAGCCACGGTGAGTCTTAAAAATTGCTATAGTTGTGGCTTGGGTTTGGCATATTTAACAGTTGTTGATATAGCTAGTATTTGCGTTGATAAAATTCAAGGATCATTCACCTGTTTTGCAGTTATGAAACAGGCCTTATGTGGAATATGTGCAAATGCTTTAATCTTAAATAATTTTATATTCTGGATGTATATAGAGATGGCGTCTGACTCTCCATGCACTTGTGTTGATTTTTCTTTAGTCTTGTGTTTTTGAAAAACATACAAAGGTATTTGGGAGAGTGGCAGGAATGATAACTAGAATAGTAAGTAAATTTATAACTAAATCTAAATGGCTCTTGAATTAAAACCAGTAAATGGTTTTGCAGGATAATAGTAAAGAACAAGATGAGTCTTATGTATCATTTAGATGAAAAATTGACAAAATAAGGCAAAATGATTCTGGTGACCTTGAAATTATATGCTACTGTTGACGATTAATGTAAGGCCAACCACTTTCTCATTTATATAGTCTTGAAGAGTTTTTAATGATAGTCATATATGCATTGCATTATGGTTGAAAAGACAGAGTTCCAATTTAACTACATTTCCCCCCCCCCACTTAGGTTTTTTTAATGTATTAATTAATCTGTATTTTATTGTAACTACAATAGGTATGCTACCATTTGCTGAACTCTTCAATGTTTTTTCTTAAGTAGAATTTGGAAAATGAAAAATTCTTAAATTGTGTCAGTTTTCTGCTTACTTGTGCCTAAAGGGAGTTTTATTTTACCCATGATTAGGCATGTTATTCCCAGCCTTCAATTTGCATAATTAGAAAAGTTGAATTCTTGTCTTTGTCCCATTTCTTAGTTGACGAAGGATCAAAGATTGGTGTATTCGGGCAGACTGCTTCCCGATCATCTGCAGCTGAAAGACATTCTCAGAAAAGTAAGCTTTTCTACCACTGTTTGATACCAGATACATTCAGAATGTGAGAGGAGATATGTTCTGAAGTTTTATTCAACCAGTTCAGGTTTTAGATGCTTAAAATCAATCCCTTTGGGTAGCATAAGTGAACGTAAATTAGAAAGTAGCATGATAGTTTCTCATTAGTTTACATAACAGTTCTGTATATCCATCTGATAGCTAAGTCTGAAGTAGGATTATGTATTTGTGTTCAGGTATTTGTCATTTTTTTGTAAGAAAATGCTATTGACTTCATTAGTGCAAGAGGAGAGTGTTAGTAGTGATGATGGATTTTCATTGGTAACAATCCTCTAAATTTCCTATTAGCCAGCTGCATAATATTTTTATACAAATTGCTTGAGTTGGGAATTTAATTTCAGGAGGAAATTAACTGGTCCATCAGTTAGCAAACTTTGTGGGTGCTCAGAGCTAAAATATATTTCAATACAGTTTTTTCAATAAAATCAGCCTGAAGTCTAGTTATTTTAGTGGTAGCTTTTAGCTCATGTTCATTTGTGGAATTTATACTTATAGAGCTTTTCAGCATTTGAAATGTTGCTTTTTGTTGGTGAGTATAGCAGAATTGTATAGCTTCTATGTTTTGCCTTAGGTCTTTGACTTAACTCTAACTATTGTTGTGGATAGTCCTTATCTAATTTAGAAGATCTGTATCTTCTCCTGTATGTTTATGATCACCTTTGGGAAACTTTAAAAAATATTAGTATTTTCCTTCTGCTTCGACAGTTGACATTTTAGCTTTGCCAATGTAACTTCTTGCTGTTATTTTAATTTCGTAGTTTCAAATTGCTAACATTGTGTAATACCCACTCCCTCAGAAATAGTGGAATTAATGCAGCAGATTTTTATTTTTTATTTCTTTCCTCTTTTTTTTAAACAAATTTTTAGAGCTGTTTTAGGTACATAGCAGAATTGAACAGAAGGTACAGCAGTTTCTCATACATTTCCTGACCCCACATAGGCACAGCCTGCCCCACTAGCAGCATCCCACACCAAAGCGGTACATTTGTTACAGTCAGTGAGCCTATGATGACATACATTATCACCCAAAGTCTGTAGTTTATGTTAGGGTTCACTCTTGGTGTTGTATGTTCTATGGGTTTTGGCAAATATGTAATGACACGTCTCCATCAGTATAGTGTCATTCGGAATAGCCCTCAAAACCTCTGTGTTCTGGCTATTTTTTTTTTCTTGTTTTTATGCTGGTGCTCAGAACTAAAATATATTTCAATATAGTCCTTTCTGCTATCTGCTCTTTGAAATACAGATATATTAAATATTTTGCCCCAAAGATAGCTTAAATTTGCACATGAAGACTTCTGAAAGATTTGTGCTGTACGAGATGGTTTCAGGTCAGACAACTTAATTAAAAACTGCTTCCGTCAGAGAACTGGTCGTGCGCCTGTGTAAAACATTTGGAGTAATCACTTTATATTTTCAATAGTTCTTTCAATTGTTTTTGTTAAAGTCAGTGTACCCTTTACTTTTTTCAGTGTAAATGCTGCCATTAGCTTTACCTATTTAGTCATAAAATGTTTTATAGAAACATTCCCAAGAAGAGTTCTGTGAATTAATTGTGATAAATTGAAACTAGGTTTTAAGGATTAACATCTTACACTTGTATGCTTTTTAATATTCTGTATTCAGAAGCTAAGGGGACGTTGTAAATGAGGAGTGTCTTCAACCTCCTTTGCTAGGTTTACCTTCTGTGGTGCTGTCTTTGAAACCTTTCTTTAGCATTCTAACCTTTAGTGACTTCTTCCTCCAAAGTGCTAAAGCAGTTAAGGTTGGGCTCCTCAGTTTCGTGCAAAAGACTGTTCTCTGTTTCTGTGATGGTGCTGTAGTGTACTCGTCTAATGTCTTACTATCATGAGCCTCTTTAAGGAAGGGCCTTGTACCCTTACTTGGATTTACCTTCAAATTAAGTACAATTACAGGTTCATGGTAGGCAAGTGATACATTCATAGTTTCTAGTAGCTTTGTTTCCCTTTCTCACCACTTGGGTATCTTTCTTCCTACTCCTTTTTCTTTGTTATTTGGTTCTTCTTTTTTGAAATTGCTAACTCACCCTTCACTGTTCTGTGTCCTCCTTTATTCCTTCTTTACTTTTCCCGTCTTACTAGCTTTATGTCTAAGTATAAATAAATATGCTCATGATCTCACTGAGCTAAAATGCCAACGATAACTGTTATTTAGAATATTTTTCTTCAGTCATATCTGTAGGTTTATAGAAAAACATGAGATATTTACAGAATATAGTTTAAATGTATGCTTTATATCTGCATATAGGTGTTATAGATAAAAATACTTTTTGACTCAAAAAAGTAAAAAAAATCAACTTTGCTAAAAGTAAAGCAAATGAGATTGTGATGAAGTTATTTGAGTTTCTTTTATATTTGCTAAGTCTCAAGTGATGGAAATATATAAACTGTACAAAGTTTAAGGTGCTAGATGTTTTTATGCTGAAATGATAGATTGTTCTGATACAACTTTAACAACATTGTTAGCTTTAAGACTGCTTCATATACAAAATAATTTTTTAATACAGCAATTGCAGAGTATTTAGATCATTTTCCAAGAATGGAGAAAATACTGAATTCAGAAGGGTCCCAATAGCAGTTTATCACTAATAGAATGGGTAGGCTAGAAAGGGACCTACGGTTTAAGTGTTTCAGTTTAGCTACTGACTTTTTGAACTGCACATTTTCTAGTACTACCCTTTAAATGTAATCTTCTTTAATTTTAGCAAGATGAGTATCATATGGTTCATCTAGTATGTACTTCTCGGACTCCTCCCAGTTCTCCAAAATCCAGCACCAATAGAGAAAGTCATGAAGCATTGGCATCCAGCAGCAATTCTGTGAGTTGTTTTGGGAGGAGTAAACGCTGAAGTTTTCTGATTATTATTATTATTATTATCTGCCTCTAAAAAATGAAAAATAACGATTGGAGCTTGTGGATTTTGAGATTGTGTTTTGAATTAAAGTTAGACATTTTGTAAAGTTTACCATTTTGAAAGGTCTAATACACAGTGTTATCTCTTGAAGTCTATTCAACATGAGTGATAATTTGCTGTATGACAGGTCAGTAATAGATTTAATTTTCAAAGATTTAATTACTGGAGTACTCAGAAAACAGAATGATGTTTATGGTTATATAATATAAACTCTTAGGCCAGTGATTTTTCAGAAATATGTAAGGTATTTATAGTAGTATTTTTGATTCAAGATGAATTCGATTGTTTAAAATTTAAGTACCCTAAATCTTCTTGAAGTAGATGACTTGGTCAAGGATTTTGTTTTTAAAATGACTGGATTTGTGCATACATTCCACCTGCCGGCGGAGGAAATACCGAATGTACTAAAGTCTTTCAGACTTGGGTATTCATTCCTCCATCCTTATTTTTCCATCTGCCTAAAATTGTTTTGGAAATGTTTTGTAGTAGTTGGTCTTCTCAATTTAGATATTTTCAACACATTTCAAAGACATTGTGCCCAATCCAAAATTATGTTAGTTTTGATTTCCCTTAAGAGCTTTCTGTGACACCTTTGTGGGTATGAAGATTGGATGAGTGGAAGCTTGCTTTCAACTTCTTGAGCAGGCAGGGAACTTTCATACTGCTAAGTGTGCTTTCCTTGTTAAAAATCCAGCTAGGCCGGGCGCGGTGGCTCACGCCTGTAATCCCAGCACTTTGGGAGGCCGAGGCGGGTGGATCACGAGGTCAAGAGATCGAGACCATCCTGGTCAACATGGTGAAACCCCGTCTCTACTAAAAATACAAAAAATTAGCTGGGCACGGTGGCGCTTGCCTGTAATCCCAGCTACTCAGGAGGCTGAGGCAGGAGAATTGCCTGAACCCAGGAAGCGGAGGTTGCGGTAAGCCGAGATGGCGCCATTGCACTCCAGCCTGGGTAACAAGAGCGAAACTCTGTCTCAAAAAAAAAAAACCAGCTAAAGTTTGAAAGAGGGCACGGGTGACAGGGTTGGGAAGTAGTTGATAGCTCTCTCCATAGATACCAGTTAACTGCCTCTTCAAGACACTAGCTCCTCCAGTTGCTGTATTTCATTAGTATTCCCTTAATGGTAAGTATTTTCTAGTACCAGTCATGGGAAATTAGCTTACATTAAACTAAATCAAATATGCTTTATCAAAACACCCAAGGGTCTTTATATGTTTTCTGCCTTGGCATGGAAAGGCACAGACATTGGCATTGGCACAGAGTATTTTTTTGTAGTCGTTGGACACAGTTGCATTGCTCCAATTTTTGCTGAGAAAGAACCCTCTGACTTTGACTTGTCCAGTGGGTCCTCAGCCGTAATTTTGTGTCATTAGTGTGTGTGTTTGTTTTTTTCAGTGTTCTGAAAGTCTGAAAAGTATCAAAGGAATGTTAAGTTGAATTTACCTTAATTTTTCATGGCTCAGAAATTTCAAGGGATTTGAAAATGTATTAAAGATCTAATCATAAAACAATTACCTAATAAGGTCAGAAATCATTATTTCTAGAGAAATTAGGTTGTGCTGCCAAATGACTAGGCTTTTCTTCTAATAGTTATATTAATGAACATCATATTATGATGGCCCATTTAATGAGAAATCTTGCTGAAAAAGAAGCCTTTCCCAGTTTATGTTCCTAAGAATCAGACTCCTTAGTAAGATATTTGTTGCCTATTGTGTGTGAAGTACCATTTTAAAGAAAGTTTTTGTTGGTTTTGCAAAAGACTGGTATGCTTTGGATCTTTCCTATGGCAGGACTTAGCCTGGAAGACTTGCAAAAAGCCATCCGGTCTATAGGAAGACAGCACAGGTCAAATACAGTTCAACAAATAAAATAATACTGTATCCAGCTCTTTAGAGTGGAAGAGCTGTCATATATGTAAAACGTAATTATATTTTAAATGCACATGAAACACTTGACAAACTGTTTTCAGACAGATTGGGACGGCCTTGAGGGATTACATTGTTTAAAGGTTACTGAATCCATGGGTTACTGACATCATTTGAGCATGAGAGTAAAGAAACCCTGATGAGCATCTTGATTCTGGCAGTTCATTTTCTAGAAAGCAGTATTGTTGGTGACTTCTATAAATTAATAGGATTTTAGAACCGAAAGGAATCTTGAAAATTTAGTCCAATCTCATTTTCTGTAGGAAAGTGGAGACTGAGAGGCTAAGTGAATCTTTAAGCTTAAACTTGTCAATGTCAGAGGTGACTCTAGATTTTAGATTTTTTGATTTTTAGCCTGTTTCTCATTATTTTAAACGAATGTGTTGCCAATAGCATATGGTAAAGTACTTGGAACATAGTAACCGTTTAAATGACTCAGTAATTAGTACCATTTATTGAGCACTTTCTATGTGTTAGGCACCATGAAAGGAGTTTTGCCTGCATTAATTTAATCAGGTGAAAAGAGTTTTTTATGCATTAGTTTAATCCTGATAATTTAATATGCTGTTTATATATATTATTATTCTGCTCCTCAGCCATTTCTGTTTGAAAAAATGGAATACTGTAATTTAAGCAGTTTTGATAAGTTTTGACTTATCAAGATTAAAATATCTATTTATTATACTGGACACAAGATTTAAAACAGTAAATTTCTGAAATTAGTTATTTTACAGAGGGATTTCATGAATACATTTTTAGTAATGTGCCTGTAATTTTGTAAAGAACTAAATCTCCTTTTAAAAATTACATTTTGTTTGTAGAGTTCAGATCATTCAGGATCAACAACTCCATCATCCAGTCAAGAAACCTTGTCCTTAGCTGCGAGTTCTTCCTCGGAAGGACTGAGGCAGCGTACCCTTCCACAAGTGCAAACTGACCCAGCACAGAGTCACCAGCTTCCATATGTAATGCAAGGGTAAGTGAAATTGTGGTGGCTATGGAACATGATTGGGACCCCCCTAGAAATGAATTGCTTTTGATTTTCACCTTAGCCTCTTTGCAGTAATTAAAGGACATTTTACCTGTATTCATATACTTGATTTTATATTTTGAGAACTAGAGGGTTAGGAAGAGCACTGCTTTTGAAACTTGGCTACGCATTAGAATCATGTAGGGCAGGGCTTTCAATCTCGAATGTTTGCATTAATCACCTGGAGACCTTGTTGAGCTGCAGGTTTGTATTAAGTAGGTGTGATGGGACCTGAGAATCTGCATTTCTAACAAGCTCCCAGATGATGCTGATGCCTCTGATGCCTGGACCACATTTTTGAATAGCAAGGATCTAGGAAACCTACTCAGTTAGTCTTCAGGGGAGTGTGGCTGAGTGAAGGTATACTTGGAAGAGTACAGAGCCCAGCAATCTCTTTTTAAAAGTTCCACAGGTGTTTCTGATCAACTTGGTAACAACTGTGCTAGAGTAAAACCATGATGTATTACAGGGATATGCTAAGCCCTGCATGTTAGCCAGAATCTTTGTTGTTTTGAGAGTTCTATAAAGCAGTTTTCTCAAGAAGCTATAGCCACCCTGTATTTAGCAATTATAGCAGGCCGCTTGGGTCAGGCAGTTCCAGAGGAAATACAGCCACAGGTAAAGCAGCTCAGAGAGTAGGATCTTGGAGGACATGGTTTGAACTAGGGTCGTGTCTGAAAGCAGAAGTGTTTTACTGGAGTACTATTATTTTTTATTTTGAAGTAAAGGAAACTTGAGTGGCAGGTAATGATGATCTTTCTGTGTTGCGTATCAAGTCATGGGGCTGCAGTGTGTGGCACTGCTCTAGCTATTTTGAAATTTACAACATTGTTGCTAACTATAGTCAGCCTACTCTGCTGTATTTATAATCCATAACCAACCTCTCATCTTCCCCTCACCACCTCACCCACACCACTCCCAGCACCCTTCCTAGCCACTTGTATCTATCAATCTACTCTACCTCCATGAGATGAACTTACTTAGCTTCCATATATGAATGAGTAGTGTAAATTGGAAAAAAAATACCTTAGATTTTAACTTAACAATTATGTTACCTGCCCAGTGTAATACTGTATTACAAAAATAATGTTACTGAAGTATATATATTGATATATAAGGTTGTTTAAATTGTATTGTTAGGGGCAAATGCAGATTTTGTATGTGTGTATATGTATGCCTATATATACAATCTTATGTTTTAAAACACTTATCTCTGGCTGAGTGTGCTGGCTCACGCCTGTAATCCCAGCACTTTGGGAGGCCGAGGTGGGTTGATCACCTGAGGTCAGGAGTTTGAGACCAGCCTGGCCAACGTGGTGAAATCCTATCTCTGCTAAGAATACAAAAATTAGCTGGGCATCATGATGCATGCCTGTAATCCCAGCAATTTGGGAGGCTGAGGCAGGAGAACCCTGGAGGTGGAGGCTACAGTGAACTAAGATTGCACCACTGCACTTCAGCCTGGGAAACAGAGTGAGATTCCATCTCAAAACAAGCAACAACGACAACACAACTCACACAAAAACCACAAAAATTAGTTGGGCATGGTAGTGTATGCCTGTAATACCAGCTGTTCGGTTAGTTGAAGCACGAGAATCACTTGGACCCAGGAGGCAGAGGTTGCAGTCAGGCAAGATTGTGCCACTGCACTGCAGCCTGGGCAACAGAGCATGACTCTGTCTTAAAAAAAAAAAGTTTGGTCAAATTTGGCAATGAAGCCATCCAATCCTGACCTTTCCTTTGTTGGGAGATTTTTTTATTTTAATTGCTGATTCTGTCTCGTTACTCATTATTGGTCTGTTCAGGTTTTCTGTTTCTTCTTGATTCAATCATGGCAGGCTGTGTATGTCTAAGAATTTATCCATTTTCTCTAGATTTTCTAGTCTATTAGTGTATAGTTGTTCATAATAACTTGATGATTTTTTTTTGGTATTTTTGTGGTATTAGTTGTAATGTTCCTTTTTCATTTTTGACTTTATTTATTTGGGTCTGCTTTTTTCCCTTGGTTACCTTGATAGTGGTTTATTGATTTGTTCTTTTCAAAAGTCCAAGTTTTAATTTTGTTGATCCTTTGTGTTGTTTTTCTTTTTCAGTCTATCCTGATCTTTATTATTTCTTTCCCTCTACTAATTTCGGGTTAGGTTGTTCTTGGTTGTCTAGTTCGTTGGGGTGTATTGTTGGAGTGCTTATTTGAAGTCTTTCTATTTTTTGATGTGGGCATTTATTAGTATAAACTTCTCGCTTAGCACTGCTTTTGTCATATTCCATAGGTTTTGGTAATTGTTTTTTCTCTTTCATTTGTTTCAAGAACTTTTTGTTGTTGTTTTAGAGACTGTTTCACTCTGTTGACCAGGCTGGAGTGTGGTGGTGTAATCCTAGCTCACTGCAGAACTCCTGGGCTGAAACCATCCTCCTGCCTCAGCCTCCTGAGTACCTGGGATTATAGGCACGTGTCCCCACACCTGACTTCAAGAACATTTTTGATTTCCTCCTTAATTTTTTCCTTGACCTGTTTAATTTCCATGTATTTTGTATGATTTCCAGAGTTTTTATGTTAGTGATTTTTTTTTTCTTTTTGGGACAGAATCTTGTTCTGTCACCCAGGCTGGAGTGCATTGGCTCAATTTTGGCTCACTGTAACCTCTGCTTCCTGGGTTCAAGCAATTATTCTGCCTCAGCCTCCTGAGCAGCTGGGATTATATGTGCGTGCCACCCCACCCGGCTAATTTTTGTATTTTTAGTAGAGACTTACTAATTTCTAATGTCATTCCATTGTGGTCAGAAAAGATACTTGATAGATTTTGATTTTTAAAAAATTGTTGATTTTTAAAAGTTTTAAAAAATTTATAATGAGAAGAGTGTGTATTCTTAGCTGTTTCATCCAACAGGTTACGCCCATTTGGTCTAAAGTGCAGTTTTAATCCAGTGTTTCTGTGCTAAGTTTCTGTCTAGATGATTTGTGTAATACTGAGAATTGGGTGTTGATGTCCCTAGCACTTACTGTATTGGATTCTGTTCCTCTCTTTAGGTCTGATCATGTTTGCTTGATAGAACTGAGTGGTCTGGTGTTGGGTTCATATATGTTTAGAAAAAGAGATGTTATATCTTTTTGTTAAGTTGATCTTTTTATCAGTTTATAATGACCTTCTTTGTTGTTATTATTTTTAAATTAAAGTCTGTTTTATCAGTTACAAGGATAGATGTTCTTATTTGCTTTTGATTTTTGTTCACTTGGAATATCTTTTTCCATCACTTTCAGTCTGTGTCTTTACAAATGAGATGAATTTCTGGTAGGCAGCATATAGTTGGGTCGTTTAAAAAAATTTATTCAGCCCTTCTGTATCTTTTAAGTGGAAAGTTTAATTCATTTATATTCAGGGTTATAACTGATATGGCAGGCTTATTCCTGTCATTTTAGTAATTGATTTCTGGTTTTTGAGTAGCGTTTCTTCCTTTGTTTCTCTCATATTGTTTTTCATTGTGGTTGATTTTTTCTATAGTGGTAACGTTTAAATCCTTTCTCTTATTTGTATATTTGCTCTGCCAGTGGGTTTATACTTTGATGTGTTTTCATGGTGGTAGATATTTATCTTTTGCTAGTACTAGGTGTAGGGTCCCCTTTGTTATTTCTTGGAGGGTCGACCTGGTGGTGATAGATGCCTTCAGCTTTTGCTTGTTTGAGAAAGACTTTATTTCTTCTTCATTTATGAAGAATAACTTTGCCGGGTATAGTATCATCCTGTTCTCTCCTGGCTTGTAAGGTTTCTTTGGGAAATCTGCTGGTAGTCTGCTGGGGATTCTAAGCATCTAAGTGACTAGCTGCTTTTCTCTTGTTTTTAGAATTCTCTCTTTGCCTTGGACAGTTTGACTGTAATGTGCTGTGGAGAATACCTTTTTCAATTGTGTCTATTTGGGGATTGCTGGGCAAGGTGTCAGAGCCCTGGCACCAGGAAGTGGTCAACTCATGGGATGGTAAAAAGAATTTACTGGCAACAGTTAAGTTTGAAAAAGGAAAGTTTATTAGAAAGGAAGAACTCTGCAAAAGGGTAGAGTGGGGTGCCCCAGTGAGAGGACTGAGGGCACCGTGGTGGATTTTCCTTAGGAGCATTTATAGGCCTTAGGATGGTAGCTTAGGGTTATAACACTATTTTCAGCGTGGGATATATAGAAATTTTAGTTATAAAAATTGAAAGAGGACTGGAATCAGATGCCGACTTCAGATACTACAGAGGTTTGATTACCTCTAAATTCCCCAGATAAGGAGTTTTGCCTCCGGATGGCCTATTTGGTGGTCGCCAGGTAGTCTTTGCTCCCTTCTAAATTGCTCAGATAAGAAGTTTTTGTCTCTGGGTCTGTTGAGTGGTGACCAGATGATTTTCACTCTCCTTAGGTACTTTTTAATGATATGTCTGTCTTTGGTAAATTTCTTATTTATATCCTGAATTGTTTTTCAAATTTTTAAATGTTATTTATCTGAAATCTCTTGTACTGAGTCAGTATTTTGAATTCGTTTTCTGGATTTCACAGATTTCTTTTTCACTGGAATCCATTGCTGGAGAATCATGTTCTTTTGGAAGTGTCACATCTACCTGCTTTTTCATGTTTTTTTCTTTCCTTATGTTGATATCTGTGCATGTGGTGTGACAGTCCCTTCTTTAGTTTTTTGAATGTGCTCTTGTAGCAGGGCACTTTTTCCTAAAGATGTGGCTGTGGTGTTTGGATAGGCCACTTTGGCTTTGCTTCTGTATGTGTACCGTAGTGCGGTCTCCGTATGAATTTTGTCAGGAACAGTGTCAGTAGTGTCTGATTTCCTCAGTGTCTTCATGTGCAGTTTTTAGTGGAGTCTGTGGTGAAGTTTTGCTGGGGACAGGGGTGTCAGGTGGGCCAATCTTTAGGCCCCAGTGATGGCCGTGGGGGGCTGGGCACGCCTGTCCTTGGGCCAGGCA